GGGTTATATGTACCTCTAGTAGTACATGAGCATACTACAGGGGTACATGGAAAAATTTCCCAGATGTGTAAAAAAAAAATTTTTAAATATAGATTATTGCAATGTAGAAAATGCAAAATGAATCGTGGAATTGACAAAACCAAATGGAATCCAGTATAAAAATTACTGAATCTCACCGAATTTGCTTTATTTGGTTTAGTTTCTGAGGTATTTTGGATGCTGTCACTTCCTGTACCTGCCATTACCTGGTTTATTTCTTTATTTACTTATTTACTTTCAAGGCAACACATTAATCTTTTTGTTTTAATATTAGTTGAAAAGAATAAAATGCCTGAAAGTCAAATGTTCAAGTTAAGAGGATTAAATCAATGATTTTCATTTAATAATCAGTTGTAGATTAAAGTTTTGGAGAATCATCATTACTTTTGGCTGAGGGGTACTATAGTGATATGACAAAATGGCTTCGGTACACGTCTACAAAGGTTGTGAACCACTTGTGTACACAACACCAGCTGTGGTTCTCTCTGAAACCAGAGGTTTCTGAACCCTGCTCTGAGTGGAGATTTTCAGGAGCCCACCCTGCAGAGGTGGGAAGCCCCCACAGCTGTGAAGGAACATGCTCAAACAACCGGCACACAGCAAAGGTTTCTTCTAAACTAACAACAATTACAATAAATTACAGACAGCAGAGAGTTTTTTTTTTCTGTTACTCACACTTTGGAGCTTGTAGGAGAAAAACAAAAAGCACCTTGGGTCCAAAGGAACGTTAGTTTAATCACCAGGTTCAGACGTAACTATAATCAGAGTTGCACATAAGCAGTGCGCAGGTACGCATGCGCGGTCAAAAAAAAAAAGCGCACCAGATGTAATGTCATAAAGTTCCCTTGTGTACCTAAGATTGTACCTGATTATCTGTGAAAACAACAGTTAGCAGGGCTCTAGAGTGTGACCAGTTTGGTCACAAATGTGACCTGATTTCTTAAAAAAATTAAAATTAAAAGAATCCAGCGGCACTGGTGTGAATGGATCGTTGTTCGGTGCGACACAGCGGGACCCTGATATAAAGATTAAATCTTCACTGCCTTCAACAAATCAGACGAAGTCCAGAGCCGTTTTYTCCAATCAGAGCAGAGCAGGGCGGGACTTTCAGTGAGAGCAGTTTGGTTGAAGCAGCGGACCGGCTCGACTGGAGCTGCTGCAGCGATCAGTCCTGACATCTCCT